CAAGAAAACATTCGGCCACATAAATAAACGCTAATTGACGGTGAGCAATCGGAAATATGCATACATTCATTTAACTGAAAATTGCATTAATTCACTGGAGATCGCTATTGATTCTACGCAAATTGAATTCTCAAACTACCTTGAATTCAATATGGTTTGCAGAGTAAAAGTTGTATTTGCATTTGATGTATTATGAAAAAAAAGCATTTACTTTGCATGTATGCTGCAATGCACAAAAACGGTGACGACGATTTCTTACAAAATACTTCGATGAGACTCTACCGAAGTATTTTGTAGGTCGACGACATACCGAGCGGCTCAATCGTTTGAGTCGCTTAAAAATGAGTGAGGGTGGCGCGGCGATTGGAGCAGATACGGCAAATACAGTGAAGGAAAAATTATCTGGGTCGTGGAATGTGACCAAGAAAATGCTGAATAATATTGCTGCCACAATAAGTGGTCCTTTGAAAAGTACAGCTGCATTTCGAGTGCGTATTTATCAGTGAATTTTGGCGAAAAAAATTGGCGAAATTTTCATGAAAGAGTTTGACTGAGAGATTGATATAGTTGCATTATGATCTTGACGATACCTGATAACTTTTCTGCAACAATTCACAAATTACTACATGTTCCTTATTCAAACCTTCACGTATTACAGCAATGTAAAGGATAGTGTATATGCATATGAAAACTACGGATCAATGGATTCATGACATCTTACATCTCTTGCAGTTTACTGTACATAAGAGAGTGCTTATAGGGTTCAATCACATCAACTACCGGCCAAACGTATTCAGCCGAGCATACGTCGTCTGTATCACATAGCAANCGAGACGGATCTCAAGAAAAGGTGAAGCTGGTGAAGGTACGTCCTCAACAATATATTTAGTGATCCTCCTAGAAAACTATTCTTTATTGTTGACTTAAACTGGTTACTTGGTTACTTGTTAGATGCAAAAAAGGTTTTCTTCAGGTCATCAAAAACGTCGACATTTTCATTTCAAACATTTCACTGATTCGATATCCCTACCTAAGTCATGCAAACAGAGGATTGCGGAAGATTTATAGACTACAGGAATTCAGATATAGTTAAGCTGTAGTCAGGCAAATTCATTCAGATACACAGCAGTCAGGCAGCATGTGGTCGAGACTTGTTCGAAGAGCCCTATTATCACGGTTTCATGACCGGCTTCGAGGCAGATGATCTGCTCGGCAATGTCGACGGTACTTTTCTGGTGCATAAGGCCATGGTGAAAAATAAAACGGTTAGTTACAGACAGAACCCTTTATTGTTGAGCACTTATTTCTGGCTGTTTGATTATTATCTACAGCTTTGAGTATATGACGGAAGTTTTGCTCGGAATCGATCGATGTACCGATATCATCAATGTTATCGAGTCTAAGCCAGGCTATTAATTGGCTTCTGCCTAATTATCTATTTAGTTCTCAAATTATTCTCTCA